CCCCCCCCCCCCCCCCACCTCCTCTCCTTAGACACAGTTAAAGGTCTGGCCAGACCGATCCTAGTATTTTGATCCCTGGAAATGGTAACTGATTCAAGGAATGGGCCCGGGACCCAAATTAGGCCAGTGGGAATGCTTGCCTGGGCTTTGATATCTGGCTACTGGGAAGGAGCAGCACTTTCTTCCCTAAGGGGTCCCAGACAGGGGATGCAAGCTTGCAGCTGCCAATGGTTATGACTCCTTACCCCTCTCTTCCTTGCCTGCCCCTTGATGAATTCCAACAGTAAGGGGGAAGAAAGAGCCACCCCAACTCTCATCACAGAAAAAGGGAAGCACAGTAAAGAGATGTTAAGAAAAAACAGAGACCCAGTGCTTTATTTTGAGCCCCTGGATCCAACCATGCCTGAGGCTGGTCTATCTCTGCTCATCTTAGTTCTATGGGACACTGAACCTCCTCTTTAGTTTGACCACTTTGGATTTAGTTTCTGACAAAAGAATCCTGACCAACGGATCTACTTCTCTGGAGCCTGGGTGGGGGTGGTGGTTACATGGAATGTGTAGTAAAGGGTTTCGCAGAGCGCTTGGGAACCCTGGCTTTTATGACTGCCTCGTCACAGTCATTTGTGTGTTTGTTCTGAGCACAGGACTGGTTTCTGCTCACCTCTGTGGTCCCTGTTCTTCGCACCCCTTACCTGGGAAGGAAACAGAAGGCTTCCAGGAGAGAGGAGCAATGTGAGCAAAGGCGTGGGCGCTGGCAAGCGGAGACAGACCTGCAGGCACTCGGAGCCACGGCATCTCCTCCCTGAGGGACCGACAGGTACATCCTGACCAAACTTCTTCTGAAGGAGACAGAATGGCCCGTTTGTTCCAGCTGCTGTGTGTGGGGGGTTCCTAATTGCGCCAACCACCCATCAGCCTGGCCGTATGCGGATGTCCGGCTGCTCATGTCATGTACCCTTGTCTGAGCTCCACGCCAGTCCCACCACGGGGTGCAGGCGCATGGCCCCCCCTCCACCTCAGGGAGATACCCAGGCTGGTGGAAGCAGCTGGGGTCTCCCAGCTCCTCCTCCTGCCTCAAATGCAGGAAGCTCAGTACGGTGAGCGGCCGTGGTCCTTCAGGACCGACGCATTTGGTCTACAGCAGGGACAACTAAGGCCCAGGGAGGACAAGGAGCTTGTGTCCAAGGTCACATAACGAGGTGGGGGCACTGTCACTAAGGTGCTTGGCTTTCTTGTGGTCTCTTCCCCTTGGCTCAGGTCAGAATTTATTAATCTCTCCATCCATCCATTCGGTGATGACTGAGCTTCTGCTGGGAAGGTGAAGACGCAAAGGGCCCAGCCCTCCTGGGGCTCCAGACTGGTCCCCTGGGGCCTGCTGGCTTCTGTGCTTCTGTTAGATCACATCTCGCCGTCTGACCTGAGCCGCGCTGCCGAAAGGCAGGTTTATGTCCCCGCCGGACTGGGGGCGCCCGGCCCGCACACCCACGTCATCCCTGCGGCCTGCAGACAGCTTAGCCCTCAGTTCAGTTGGTGAGTCAGGAACCCGAATGGGAACCGATTTGAGGGCAAAGCCATGGAGTTTGGTGTCAAGAGGCCTGAGCCTCAGTTCCCCCATCTGTCAGATGGAAACAGTAAGCCGCACCCCAATCATGATTTGCAATACCACTTATAAACCACCTGGGACCCAGCAGGAGTCTGGGGGCGTGATGGTGTCCCTCACCTGGCTGAGACCTTCTTAGCAGGGGCAGGGGTCTGATGGGGCCAGCACTTAGTCCCTCCCAGGACCTGGTTCTCAGGAGGTGCTCAGCAAACATCTGACAGGTGAGAATGAGGAACGGGGGTTGGGGGGGCAGTTCCTGTTGTAGGCGGAGCCCAAGCAGTGGCCAGGTTGCCAGCCAAGTTAGCCCATACCTCTTGGGGGTGCCTTTTTCAGGAACTGGTCTGGCCCCTGCCCCTAGCCCTGCCCTTCAGGGTCCAGGACAGCCAGGGCCTGCAGAGAACCCAGAGGGCAGGGCCTTGGAGAATGTACCCATTCATTCTTTCCTTCTTCATCCATTCACTGCTGGTTCTGGTCCAGGCCCCATCAGGCAGCTGGGGAGGAGGCAGCCATGACGCCCTTTCCTGAGGTTCCCAGGGACCCAGGCAGAGTGTGGTGAGCTGGGGGAGGGGCTAAGTGAGAGAAGGGCTCCCCTGGGGGTTGGTGGGGACTTGGCCTGGCCCTGTAGCAGGAAAAGACCCAGGTCCCAGTTCCCACCAGATCCTGTGCTGCTCGAGTGCCCAGGTCCCTCCCATCCCCCTCCCTGGCCTCTGCTACAGAATATGAGACTCGGGGATCTGGGCTCAGTCCCCACACCCAGGGAGCGGTGTGATAGTCTGTGGCAGGAGAATGAATTATCTAGTTACCCTGTGGGGCGGTTGGCACCGCCACCCCACTGACCAGGCTCACCTCGGGAACACACACAGTCAGGTTGCAGACAGGCCTGAGTCCTTCATGTGGACCAGGCAGAGAGTCATCAGTCCCACTGGTGACAATGGCAGAGGCATATGGGACGGGAGAAAGAGCAAGCACGGGCTTGGGGGGCACATAGACTGGGCTTCAAATCCTGGCTTGGCCATTTACTGTGTGACCCCAGCTTCATCTCCCTGAACCCTGGTTTCCCCAACTGCAACATATGGGTAATAAATCCACTCATCTCACAGGCTTGTCCTGGGGATGATACTGAATAGTTTACTCTGAGTTATCTATGTGGAGGCTCTTTGACTCCTTCCTTTTGCCTGTAATGCCCACCTCCTTGTCTATCTCATGAACTCCTATTCAACCTTCAAAACCCAACAAAGCTATCCCCTCCTCTAATGACATCTGTTGTTTCAGTTTGCAACATCCATTCCTCTTATGGAAACAGTACCTTGGTTTCTCCTGGGGAATCAGTCACTTCTCGCCCCACAGTGCTGGTCCTGGGGAGGCTGACAGTGTCCCTCAGAGCTCCCCGGGAGACCCATGTGGCTGACACTTACTAAGCTCTCTCACAGGCTAGGCTCTGTTATGAGTATGTTACATGGGTCAACATATTTAAATGTCACTAAAAGCAAAGTGAATGGTAACATTTATTACCATGGAAAGAGGTGCAGCAAGATCTCGTTTGGATAAGCCACAGTGATGGATATTTACGCGGGGGGCTGACGTATCAGTCAGAGCCCCTGCAGGAAGCACATTCACCCTGGGTGGTTCAAACACAGAGGCTTTGATGCAGGGGCTGCTTGTGGAGGTGACGGCGCGGTTAAGGGAGCAGACAGGGAGGGGAGGCACCCCCAGGGCAGCGGCACCAGGCAGCCGTGAGCCCCCGCAGCTGACGGGACGGGGACAGCAAGCAGTGCTCCTGGAGCCCCGTGGGAGCGGGAGCCGGGGAGGGGCCGCCCCAGGAGCAGGGGGTCTCAGGCAGGGCGCAGGCGGCGGGTTGAGGTGGGGACAGAGCAGGGAAGAGAGACCTTGACCCCCCTCTCCTCCCGCCATCTGGACTCCCGGGGGGCCTCCTGCTGGTCCAAGAACAAGAACGCCAGTCTGCCGGGAACCCCCACTACGGTCCGTCCAGGCCTCCTCCCCGCGCCCAGCAGGACAGAGCGGGTGGAAGTGAATCAGGGGTGGCAAGTGGTGAAGGCGAGGGCCAGGCAGAGAGTCTTCCTGACATAAGTGTTACTTGGGGTGCATTTTAAGGATTTTAGATTCTTTGTCCTTTGGTGCTACTTTTTTGCGGCAAGAATGAACCACAATGAAGTTTGAAAACAATGAAGTTTGTTATTTTAAGTGATCAGAAGAGGAAGCTGGGGAGCCCTACAGTAACCCCATAATGCCTCTGTATTTGGGGCCAGAATGTGGATGGGGAACTGGTGAACTTGACCTCATGACCCCCACTGGGAAATGGAGTCTCAAAGCCTCACTGAGGCTCGGCAGGTGAATCGGGTTGCGGTGACAAATGGGCCAGGAGCCCCGTGTGGCCTTGAGCAGGGCCCGCCCCGCTGGGCCTCGGTTTTCTTGTGAACAGACTAACGACTCGGAACCTGTTTCTCATGAGGACGAGAGAACAGACACGGGGCCCCAGAAAGGGCTTGCGACGCTTCCAGGATGATTCACGCCCAAAGGTGAAGACTCAGAATCAGCGCTCTCTGGGACCGGTCGGAAAACCGAGAGCAGGTGATGCTGTGGGGGTCTGGGTGGGGCAGGGGAGCCCCCGGGCAGCAAGGCGGAGCCCGGCAGCTGCAGGAGATGCGGAGACCAGGCCTGGGGCTGAGGCAGAGGCCCCCCTGTTTCCCCAGCTTTAAAACAAAGTGTTTGAACAGATAATCCCTGTGGTCCTGTCCAGCTCTGTGTCCACGTCCAGCGGGGAATCCCGTAACAGGTAAAACTCAGGGAACTTTACTATATCCAGAGGTGACCCCTCATAAGGCTAGTTAATCCTGTCTCCAGGCGTACCGTGGGATTCATTTCATAGAGAAATGTCCAGCAAGTGGCAGGGAGGTCAGGATGCCATCGGGGGTCCTACTCGAGGGCCCGGACCCAAGAGTCAGAGCAGAGACACGGCTACCCCGACACCAGTAACTCGGGGAGTCCCTGACTGGGAAGGCTTACCTTTGGAGGCGAGCACACCACGTGCGACCAGGACGCCAGTTCATCCAGGAATGCAGGGGGCTCAGAATCAGGCTGCTCTCACCCAAGGTCCCCCTGGGAGTAGGGAGCAGCTCCAGGACCAGGAGCCTAGTGCCCTGGTGGCTCACAAGGTCCCGAATCTGCCCCCTTGGATGGAGAGCTGTCCTTGCTGTGGTATGCAGCCTCCTCCTGGGCTCAGGTGAGGAAGAGTGGCCAACCTCACATCATGGTGGCCCGGGATCCCCAGCAGCTGAGCATCCCAGGGGGCCAGATGTCCCCTCCATGGATGCACCTGAGCCATTGGGATGGGCTTTGGAGGTGAATAGAGCACGTTCAAGTCCCAGTGCCTCCTGTCACCAGGAAGTGTGCCCCGGGCCCCCCAGCTCATCTTGCTGACCCTCAGGTTCCTGTTTGCGTCAGGACACCCGCCTCCCAGGCTGCCCTGAGGACCAAACGAGAAGGCATCCTCTCCTCCATCCAGTACCATCATTTCTTGACACGGTGCTGATGATCCTTGTCCCTTTCCCTGAATCCTCCAGACAAGGCAGCTGCTGTGATCGCCCCCCTTTGCTGACGAGGAAGCTGAGGCTCTGCGAGGTCAGTAACACCCCTCAAGTCCATGGCTATGGGCAGAAAGGCCACGACACCCACAGCCAAGCCTCCTGCAGCCCCACCTGGCACCCCCTGCCCTCAGCCCCGGCCTCCTGCAAAGACAAAAGGCCCATCTGGAGGGAACTTGTTTTTAGCAGAACGAATGCAGAGATTTGGACAAGTGTTGAACTGGGCAAGGTGCGGCCGCAGGCAGCTTGTATGACTGTCCTTGCTCGAGGGGACCGATCGTCCTGACATATTGTTGGTGGGAGGTGGGGTGGAAAGGAGAGAGAGAGACAGAGAGACAGAGAGGATCTGCACACACTGACCTGTCGGGATACGGTAAATACTGAAATGAGCTGCTTTCTGTGAGACTGGACTATCGCAGGGATCTCCCGGATCCCTCCCCCCAGTGGGGACAGGCAGACACAGGCCGGTGCGGGGCCCGCAGAGCACAGGGACTCCTGCAGAGTGTGCGGGCAGGGGACCCCGTGGGGCCCCATCTACAGCAAACAGTGACCCAGGTAACTCAGCCATGTGCACAGGCAGAGGTTGGGCAGAGGATGAGACAGTGGCCCCACTCTTCTCTCCCCTGTGGGGGACTCTGGTTGTCTTCCAAACATGGAACAAGAGGGGACAGGTCTGTTAGCTGGCCGACGGGTGTGAGGCCCCTGCCTACCTCGTGGCTGTGAGGGATAGGACCGGAAGGATGGGACCTCTCTGTCCTTCCCTTGCGTTCAGAGGGTCACCTGCCGCGCGCCCCGGCCCCGCCTTCATGCGTCCATCCGGGAAACATTTGCATGGCCTGTGCTGGGTGCAGAGGATGGGGTGAACTGACGTGGTCCCTGTGAGTTCCTGGGCTGTGGGTGGGGCCTCGGTGACCGCTCAGAATTCCTCACAGCAGGGGGAGTGTGCTAGGAGCCGGTGTCCCTTCATTCCGGGGACGAGGAAACGGAGGCCCGGGAAGGCACTGCACTCACTCAGGGTCACAGCCATTGTATGGCTGAGCTGGGGCTCCAGCTTGACCCCACGTTAGGCTGACCCCAAAGCCTGGGCCTCTCACTGCTCTGCTCCATGGCCGGTCTGGGTGGTGGTGAAGGCCGGAGGATCCCTTGGTGCAACACCAAATGGCTGACCCGTGGCCGGGGCACTGATTTTCAAATGCTCTGAAACGTGTCAGCGGGGGTGGCCTCTCGCACAAGGCGGCCGGAGGCATGAGAAGACAGATGGCCCAGCCTGGCTCTGCCCGGGGCCGCAGGCCTTGCATGTGTGGGGTAGAAGCCCCCACCCCCCAGATGCCTGCAAAAAGGGTTTCTAGAAGTGCAGACGGGCCGGCTGTCTCCTCGGGCCAGAAGCTGAATTTGCTTCTTGTGTCATCATAAATCGGGCCATCGGAGCTGAGGCCGTTAGTGCTCCTCATGACCTCTGCGGCCGCCCCTGATCGGGAGGGGCTGCATGGCCTGGGCACCGGGGAGACCGAGGCCGCCTGCACGGCCCTCACTGACTGCGGCCCGTCTCGGGGCCCCCGCCCACCTGCCCTGGCTGGCCTCGGATGGCCCGGAGCCCAGCAGACACGCCGGGGCCGAGGGCCGGGCCGGAGTCCTGGCATCGGTGCCGGGGCAGAAGCTGCTTTGCCATGCGGCGCAAAGAGCAGCGACTCTGGCGTCCGCGGCCTGGGCCCGAGAGCCTCCTTCTCGCGGGGGCACGGAGGCCGTCCTCACCTTCCGCGGGCCTCCGTGCCTCATCTGAGCCGTGGGAGGAGAAAAAGCCACGGGCCGTGGTGCTCCCAGGGCCGGGGAGGCCGGGAGGTGTGGACGGGGGGCAGGGAGCCACGGTTCCCACAGGTGTGGGCCGGGCTACATCCCGGGGGTGTGGACGGTGAGGTCGCAAAGCGCGGCTCATGTGGCGCTCACCAGGCCGGGGGCACGTTGCCAAGAGCTCCGTGTGGATTGTCACGACTCAGCTTCCAACAGGATGCTCAGGGCACATCCAGAACGCCAGCGACGCAAACTCGGCTCCCTGGTTCTGTGAGCAGTTTCATGGACGAGAAAACCAAGGCCTGTGGGGGCAAAGGAGGGCCTGCCCGAGGTCACACAGCCTGAGGCTGTGGTGGACCTGGATCAGAATCCGGACAAATCCGCCCCCACCCCTCCAGCTTCTCGGAAGAGCACGCAGGCTGGGAACCATGCCAAAGCTAAAAACAAAACCAAACAAAAAATAACCCACATCCCAGACTGACTCACAGGTCGTGCCTGCCATTCTGTGTAGGCAGCAGCCTGGGAACAAGGGGCCCTGGGATCGGGGGCTGGTTCTGCCACGCACTCGCTGGTCACTGCTCTCTGGTTTCGGCTTCTTTATCTGTAAATGAGAAGATGAAGGCTCTCTAGAGTCCTTTGGCTTCAAAAATCACTCTGAGCCTGTTTTCCCATTCAAGGGGCCTAATGCTCTCCTTCTCAGGATGCCCTGAGGGTCATGTGAGGCCCAAATATGCTCCTTGGTACAACAGTGTGAAAATTACCCCACAAACAGTGTTGTCATCACTCACACCTCTGCAGCAAGGTGATGCTCAGGGTTGCCCTGCGTGCACATCTGAGCTGCTAGGAGTGAAGGGAAAACCAGTGTATTAACCCCCTGGGCAGGTGGTTCCCAAACTAGGACGGGACTGTGGATCCTGGGGGCCCCGGACCCTCTTCCCGGAAGGTTAAGGTGTCTCTGAAGCCAGATTCCTCTCATGGTCCCAGCAGGTGACATGGCATCTCAGATCTCCAGCTGCCTGTCCAAGGGGCCTTGGCAGAGCTGGGCCGTGGGGCACAGGAGAGGGAGGAGGACTTCTGGCTGCAGATGTTGGTGAAAAAACGTGAGCACTGGAATCAGGAAGACCTGAGGCCAAGGGCTGGCTCATTACTCAGTATTTGCAGGATTCTGGTCGAATCACTCGCCGGTCCTAAGCCTGGGTTTCAGGGAGCATCTCCTGATGGCAATGTTGCCAAGGCACCTGGCACCACGCCTGGCCCAGGGTGAATGCCCAGGACCCAGCAGCCAGCAGGGCGGCAGCAAGTCCCTAGAGCCCGCCCGCCAGGGGACTGGACTCTGCAGAAGCTGCCCCGGGGACTGGACCGCGGGGACAGGGGCACCAAGGGGCGAGTGCATAGGGAGCTGCAGAAGGCTAGATCCCCAGACCACAAAGGTGTAACAGCTTGCATTTGCCTACTTGTTAGCCCTTTAATGAGAACAGGAATTATTTGTATCTAACAGCAAGTAGAGAGGAGAGTGCGTTCAGGAGTTCACTGATGAGCGGTGATGACAATAATTATGGTAACAGTGAGTCAAAGGCAAAAGTGTCAACAGATCAATCTGGAAGAAATGTCAATGTTAAGCATGAGTAAATGACTGTCACATGCATAAACAATGGGTGTGACCATGAGGGGGTGTGACGGGCACTGACCGTGTGGGATCATAAGGGATATTGTTCTGTCGTTTACTGTCTGTCTGCTTTTGGTTCAGGGTAATACTGGCCTCATGGAATGTACTGGAGAGTGTCTGCCCTTCTACTTATCAGTGCCAGCTGTCCTAGTTGGAGAAAAGATTGGTGGCTCACAGCAGCCTCCGCCATCGGCCCCTCTCTGCAGAATAGATACTTGCCCTTCTTCCTGTGACTCTGAACTTGGCTGCCCCCGCCCACAGCTGACACTCAGGGCTAGACCCCCAGGCAGCCTGGACTCCACCCTCCCCTACCCCTGCTCTCCTCCCCCCCTCAGCGCAGGGGCTGTTCTGCAGGATGTCTTTCCCTCCCCTCTTCCCGGTTCCCTCTGCCCCCTCGGGCTCCTGGGCCCGCTCCTCCCTCACCTGTGTTATTGCAAACAGCTTCTGCCAGGGGTGCTAGAGTCCCCACCGCCGATCCCTGTGCAGGGACAGTTTTCTAAAACCCCTGTGGGAGCAAATCACAGCCCTGCTCTTTTTTCCGATACTCCATTTCCTGAAAAGTAGGGATTCCCAAATGATGCCCCTGGGGCACCCCTCATGTGGAGGGAGGGTTTTTGGGTCCCTAGGGTGTCTGGGGGCGGAGGCTGAAGCAACCAGCTGCTGGCATCCTTGTTCTTTGAACTTCCCAGTTTAATTATTTCAAAACTATGCACATTTTATCCTGATGTATCCGTGATATGTTTAATATAAAATAAGGGGCACTTTCCCAGATCTTGGAGTAAAGACGACACTCTGGGAAGATGCCCCTCCTGGTTCCATGGCTCACTGCTCTGCCTGTCCATGTGAGGCCAGCAATCAGAGCACAGGACCCAGACATCTTCTAGGGTGTCCACTTTATTCCAAGTTCAGGGAAAAAATGCCCTTTATTTCATATTAGAACAATCATGAATGCATCGTGCCAAGAGTCCCCAGAGTCGCACAAGCCCCAGGCTCCTCTGGGTGGGCCCCTGACTCACTTCCCCACATCACCACCTGCCCCCTGCACATTTTCTTTTCAGCCTGGCCCTCAGAACTCAAACACAGCAGAGGTACACAAGCTTATATATGGGGTAGCACACATCGTCCTCACTGCGCACGCACACACACGCACCCCACTGCTCAAACAACCCTACCCCACCCCCCATCTGTCACCATTCCCCAGACAGGGCATAAAGATCCACGCAGTCCCCTGGAGTTGGGGGAAGGGGGCTTGTGGGCCAGAGGCCATACTGACCCCTTCGAATGCACTGTCTCCCCTGAAGATTTCCCCAGTGATGAAACCAAGCCCCAGAGAGACGGAGCCGCCACGCACCCAGCGCACAGTGTGGGCCCCCGGCCTGGGATGGAGCTCCTGTGTTCTAGGGCTAGTCCCTGGCCCCAGCCCCACTTTTTTGCTGAAGAGAGATTATCAAAGGAGCTGAACCTTCTAATGTTTAGCTGAGATGAATGGAATGAGTGGGGAAGGAGGCAGAGGTGATCTCACCACGGAGAGGGGCTCCGGCTCAGCTGGACAGGGAGGGGGCGGGGCAGCTTCCTGGGCCTCTGAGCACCTCCTGTGAGTGTCTTGTTTCCATCCCAAGCTGCTTATGCTTGCTGGGGCAGCAGAACTTCCCACGCATGCATCCCACTCCCTCCTGAGGCTGTGCGCTGCTCACACCAACCTGACAGCAAGCTGCCTTTTCAGGGAAAAAATTTCTCCTAGGCGATCTGGACAGAGAAGAGGAGACAAAGGCTGGTTCCTGAATTTTCTGGGTGGGAGCCCCCTCCCGCTCTCTGTGCCTCCAGGGCCCCCTGCAGAGAGGGGAGGAGGGATGCTGGGTGACCCAGACACGGTTCTTCCTTCTCTGAGCCTCAGTTCCCTCATCTGGAAAATGGGATGGTAAGAGTCCCCTTCACTGTGGGTCACTGTGAGGCATATTGGAGGATGGGCTGAGTTCCCAGCACGTACAATATGCTGCTGTTGTTATTACTTTTCTCTATAGCATCTGACATGCCAGACTTTCTAAGCTGGGCTCTGGCCCCTGGTCCCAGATGATAGTTGGGGTCTGATGGCTGCTTCAGAATCACCTGCGAAGCTCTCTGAAATGCAGATCCCTGAGCCCCATCCCAGGAGAACCTGGCTCCTTGCTCTGGGGTGGGTGGGGGGAGAGTGGCCCCCTTGACTGTGGCCCTGGTGTCTCTAATGTCTCGCTGTTGGCAGGCTAACGTGGGGGCAGGGAGATAGGGGCAGGACAAGTCAAGAAAGGGACAGACTGGGGCTCATTCACTGAGTGTTGGGTCCACAGCATCAAGGCTCTAGCTAGCTCTAGCTTTCATCCCAGCTCTAGCCACATCTTAGAGGGGGACACTGAAGCTCAGCAGGGGGACGGGACTCGCCCTGACCACACTCTGCACTGGGGCAGAGCTGCCACCAGTATATGTGTGTGTGTATGTGTGTGTATATGTGTATGTATGTGTGTATGTGTGTGTATATGTGTATGTGTGTGTATGTGTGTGTATATGTGTATGTATGTGTGTATGTATATGTGTGTATATGTGTGTGTATATGTGTGTGTATGTGTGTATATGTGTATGTATGTGTGTGTATGTATGTATATGTGTGTGTATATAT